GGGGGGGGGGGGGGAGGGGGGGTCACCAGGGGACACGGTAGCAGAATCCAGAAACACAACTGCTTGAGCAAGTCCCCGAGATCTACGACGACACTCATGTGAACCAAAAGCCCACCTGCTTTGAGACCGACCTCTGAGATCTACGACTACACGCAGCCGACCTGTGCTTGAGCCCATCTCGTAGTTCTGATCGCAAAATCCAAAACCACAACCTGCATGAGCCCCCATCTACTAGATCTACCATGGCACGCAGCCGATAAACAGCCCAACCTGCTTGAGCCCATCTACGAGATCTACGATGGGCCTCTCCCGCATCCTGGGGGTGCCGTCCATGACGAACTCCCCCTTCCCCGCGCACACCACCGCCGTTAAGGGCCGCATGGCAGTGCCCGCGTTGCCGAGGAACAACTCGGTAGGGTCCGACACCTGGTCCGTGAACGCAATCGGTTGTCGATACGCAAGCGCTGGCTGTGTGTACCGAACACGTGAACAGTCTCGCGAAAAAACGAAATCGCTGGAAAACGTGGCGTGTGGTTACATATCTTGCGTATGTACTCGTGAGAAAAGGCGGGGTGAGGGCGAGAGGAGCTGACGCAACAGCAGAAGCGGGACTTGTTGCAGCAGGTTCATGTATAACACGTGCTGCCAAGGTATGTGATTCGAACCAAAAAGAGTAGCTTCCTGCCTATAATACTCAAGTGACCAATTTAGCGCGTGAGGGTCATAGAATAAAAACGTTGGGATGGCAATGAGATCATGCCCGTTTCTGTGTGGCTTGGGAGCAAAACTGAAACCAACAAACAGCGCGTGTGCTCCCCCGCCGACACCCGCCAGAGCACCGTAGACGACCCGGTGTATTCGGCGAAACAAACGGATAGCAAAGCAACGAAACCAACAATCAACAACCGTTACAGCTCCAACAACAAAAAACGAAAGCGAGTCTACCTCGAATGGGCCGGCGTTGCCCACCACCTCCACCGTTTTCGCCTCGAGGTCGCTGTCCACGGACACCTGTGTTGTCGTATCGCAATGATTGCTCGGTTCGTCAGGATTTGGGCGCGCTTTAATGCGCCCTTTAGCCCGTGGTTCATTGTGCATGGGGTTCTGGATACATTTGCCGTCATCTCTTTCTTGCGCTAAATGAGTGAAATAATTATGTTCTTTGCGAGTCGTCCTACTGCAGTACTGCTGCGAGGGAAGGTGACTTGGGCATTCCGGCAGAAAGTGTTGAGCAACTCGGGTTTTTCCAACCATGAACAGGCGTGCACAAGCAAGCAGCAGCGCCACGGATGGCAACTTGGGCTCATCCTCATCGACAGCAAACATGACACTCATTCTTCACACATGCCGCCACGGCAACGAGGACCGTGTGAGTGTGAGAACGAGACAGAGAGACCGCGAGGGACGGAGGGGGGGAGGCAAGGGCAAGAGAGACATAGAGACAAAGAGATTGGCAGAGAAAGAGGCGGCGGAGAGAGCACCGGGGAAGAATGTAACTGCTGGTGTGAAGGTAGACAGCTGACTGTATCCAACAACCTACGCCGCTGCCGGTTTGCCGGTCGGTGGCCGGCGGCTATCCAAGACCCAATCGACTTCCTCACGCCCTCCCTCTCTCTTCCGCTCTGCATTGCAATCACGAGGGTCTCAGTGAATCAACTTGCTTGTGGGGCTGAAAAAGGAAACAGCCCCTGTCTTATCTTGATTGACCTGCCCACACGAGACCACAAAAGTGGTCAAGTCAAGACTATAACCCACCGAAAGCGACAACCGGTTGTCTGTAAGAGCGAAATACTGTTTGTTCGCTCGATGAATTCAACTAAACTTCCTCGAGGATGTAGCTTGGAGGGAGGGAGGGAGGGAGGGAGGGAACTCGGTGCCGCTCGGAGTGCATGTCGGGGGAGGGGATTGTCGAAATTTAGCGCTTGCCTTGAGCGTCTTGAGTGCGCCGAGCATGTACTGGATGTCTTCCGAGTCCAGCAGGTTCTCCACCTTGGTAGTTCCCTTTCAAAAACAGACCGAACGAGAGGGAGAGGGAGAGAGAGAGAAAAATACATAGAATAGAGAGGTAGAGAGGGGGGGGGGGGGGGGGGAAAGGGAAAAAAAAACCCAGAAAACGGCGCCCCCCCCTGCGCGGAAAAAAATTTCCGACCCTTCCCGGTTCCGAATTTACCCGGGAAAAAGGGTTCCCCAACCCCTTCCCCCCCAAAAATTTTCCCCCCCAAATTTCCCCAAAACCCCCAAAAAATCCCCCCCTCCCACCCTTTTTGGCCCCTCACCAAAGGGGACCGGCACCCCTTTCCTTTCCCCTACGGATGAAAGGCCCCCCCAGGGCAAGGACCCGGGGAAACAAAGGGTTGTACTGGGAAACCCCTTGACCCCCCCCCCTCCCCCCGGGACCCCCCCGGAAAAATTTTTTCTTTTTCCCCACCCCCCCCCC